AAAATTATAAGAATCTTTAGATTTTTATTTGATCCTTTTTTTGTTTTTCAGTAGTTTTGCATACATTGAAATGTTAAGTACTGATCTCTTAGTAGAATTTAGTTCTTTAGTTTTACATTAGCTTTAGAAATTTCTAACTTATGTACAAATCTTCAAAAATAATAGTTTTTTATTCACATTCCTATTCAGATAATTTCAACAAATTTCAAAGCTTTCTGGTTGCTCTTTAGGAATTAACAGGATATTTTCTTTTTCCTTTGATAGAATTTTATTTGACTAAGTACATAAAAGACTCTGACACTGATCTCAAAAATGCCTAATGGTCAAAAAATGTCACTGGCTTTTAGTATTTAAGAATTTTGTTTCATTTTTCTTTCTTTGGTTTGATTTGTAGATAATATACATTATGAATTACATTACCCTATTCTTTTGATTATATATTGTTATCTACTGTATTCTAAATTAGCAATAAAGCATGTTCAGTCATTTTCTTTTGGATGCTGAGAATGAACTCTTACCAAATGGCAGCTAGCCCTGGCTTTTTCTTCAGCCAAAATTACATCCCCTGTTTCCATTACCTCATTTATATCCTTTTTTTACCCTCACTCTTTTTTATGTATTTAAAATTCCTCTAAGTTCTTTATTTTATATTTTCTGAAGTTTACATTAGACCAAAGACTTGTGATGCAAAAGAGCTGTAGATAGGGTTGTATTAATTTCATTCCCATGTTCGTAGTTTTTTCTTTAAAAGCCTATGTGTTTTTTAAGAGTAGCAGCTATACAGATCTGCATGCTAATCATAAACAAGATCATATTTCCCCAGTTTAAACAGTTTGCCAGTGGTGTTTCCAACTGTGAATATTTCAGTAAGTTGTTTTGTAATTATTTGAGCACAATTTAGCAGAAAAATAAGTTTAATAACTAACATTTATTCAGCTCTTAACCCTATATGCCTGGCACTGTGCACTTTACAACAATTTTATAAGGTAGGTGATATTTGTATTTTACAGGTGAAGAAACTGAGGAAAGGAAGGTTAAGTTGACTTGCTATAAAGATATGCATTGTAACTATTTTATTTATAGTTCAAAGAAAACATTGTTGATTATATTAAAACTTTGTGTCCATGTGATTAGGTTAAAATTTTGGATGCATGAGTTTTTCCTATAATAATCTATAGAATTACAACTTGATAACTGTTAACCCCACTGATAAAATTGTAAAGTAAGCTTGTCTTTAGATGGCCTTTTTGGAGGGGGTGGGGGCAGGTCATAACATAAGTGGGATCATTCTTTTATTACTTGGTTATCTTTTACAGATACTAAAATAAAAGACTAAAAACTTGTTAGGGTATAATAATCTTCAACTTACTTTTAAGATTAATTTAAATATACAAAAATCATGTCACTTTAGTACAGATTTCTAAGTAATTTAAAAGATTTTCAAGTTGCACAAATTTTTATGGGCTTTTTATATTATTAACAGTAGGAATACTAAGAAATGTAATACTAAAAGAATTAGCACTCTCATATGATGACCCAAGAGGTAAGTGAATATTAGACTGAAATTGATTTCTACACTCTACCAGGCTTGGAGCATGAGGATAAGTTTATTTGTAGGTATCTACTAACTTTCAAGTTGCTGTCTAATTTTGGCATTTTCCAAAATCTCATGTTTTCATAGTCTGTTTCAGAGAGGCCATGTATCCTTAGGCATTGATGGCCTCCCATTGAGTACAGAGTACAGTCTAAATCTTTTGTAGGATAAACTTTATTAATTTATTAACAACAACTGAACATAAGGAATCCTTCTATAAACCAGCTCCAAGGCAAGGTTATATATAGTTCAATCTTACTGAAGGTAAGGTAAATACATCTTTATTCCTTAGCAACCTATAAAGTAGGTAGCTTTTGGATCTTACTACCTTATTACCTACTTTGGATTCAGTCAAAAGGCTGCACTCAAGGATCCCGAAGGCCACATGTGGCCCCAGGCCGCAGTGTCCCCACCCCTTAACCATTCCCATGGACAGACAGTGGGCCACTCACATTTTAATTATTGTTGGATTTTCTTTTTGCTTGAGCAGAAGTCTCATGAGGTTTCTTTAAAACTTTAGCTTCACAAATGAATTAAGGGAAAGTCAGCTCTAAGTAGTGAATATATTTCTGAAGGGAGGTTGTTCTAGAAGGTCATTAATAAAGTTGTTGAGTGCAAAGTTGAGTGGAAGATACTATAAGGCTAAGCATTGCTCACATGCGCTGTGAGATGGAATTGGCAGTTTGGACTAGCCACGCCCCTGTGGCTTCTCCTCTCAAGCCTTTGAATCCTCAATCTTTAAGAAAACATCTAACAGTTCCTTGAGTTTGTTTTAGTCTCACCTGTAAGTATGCACTAATGCTTATAAAACTGTCCAAACTTTCTGATTTCAATAGCAGACAGGTTTTTTTTTTAAATAGTAAGGATCAGTAAATTTTTTTTTAGAATGGATTAATAAAATGTGGTATATGTATACCATGGAGTACTATTCAGCTCTAAGAAACAACGATGATATAGCACATCTTATATTTTCCTGGTTAGAGCTGGAACCCATACTACTAAGTGAAGTATCCCAAGAATGGAAAAACAAGCACCACATATACTCACCAGCAAATTGGTATTAACTGAGCAGCACCTAAGTGGACAGATAGGTACTATAGTAATAGGATATTGGGCAGGGGGGAGGGAGAAGGGAGGCGGGTATATACATACATAATGAGTGAGATGTGCACCATCTGGGTGGCCACAAACTCAAGACTTGTGGGAGGAGGGGGAGAAAGGGCATTTTTTGAAACCTTATGGGGGTACCCCCATAATATGCCGAAATAAAAAAAAAAAAAAGATGCCATGATTGATGTTACAGAAAGTACGAAGATGAGTAGTAATATTATGATAGTTAAAATCTACTGAGTATGCTGGGGGTGGTGGCTCACGCCTGTAATCCTGGCACTCTGGGAGGCTGAGGCAGGAGGATCGCTCAAGGTCTGGAGTTTGAAATCAGCCTGAACAAGAGCGAGACCCTATCTCTGCTAAAAATGGAAAGAAATTAATTGGCCAACTAAAAATATATACAAAAAAATTAACCAGGCATGGTGGTGCATGCCTGTAGTCCCAGCTACTCGGGAGGCTGAGGCAGGAGGATCACCTGAGCTCAGGAGTTTGAGGATGCTGTGAGCTAGGCTGACGCCACAGCACTCTAGCCTAGGCAACAGAGTAAGACTCTGTCTCAAAGAAAAGAAAAAAAAAATCTACTGAGTACTTATAAGTGTCAGGCATTATTCTGAATGTTTTATGTATATTACCTTATTTGATCTTCACAGTAACCACATGAGCCAGATACTGTTATTATCCCCATTTTATAGAAAAGGAAATTGAGGCAGGAGTATACAAATTGCTCAAGGTAACACAACTAGCAAATGGTAGAGCTGGGCCACAAACCCAAGCAGTTCCGACTTTAGAGCCTACACTAACCATCGTATAATACTGCCTCCAATTCCTTTCTCTCAGGAAACTTATTTGCCCAAATTATTCTTAAGCTCTCTGGGAACTGCAGAACAGAGCTGTATCGGTTCTATGAAGGAGAGCAGAATGGGCCCGTTGGCTAAGGCAGTTTAACATTCAATCCGGTTTTCTAGTTTGTATGTTGACTTTCACATTCTAGTTTTAATGCTGTTCTTCTGTGAAAATTTGTCTTTGTAAAGGTTTTGAGTGTCTAAGTAAAATGCTATAGTTTTGTCAGTAGATGGGATACCTTGGTAAAGTTATATTCAGTTAAGATTTGGTGTCACAATTAAATGTCTAATTCCTTCCAGGAACCTTATAACAGATTTTCTTTTTTTTGGTTATGGAGATGGTTAGAGAGGGACCTGAAAAACATTTTAAGATGACCATAGGTAAAACAAAGAATAATGCCACCATAAGGTTCAGATGCTTTCTTCTTTCACCAGAAGTTTTATTTTGAGATGTAGAAAATGAAAAACGTTGGTCATGTTGATGGACATGAGTTATTCAAATTCCACAGGGTGGGGAACCTGTGGAACTTCCAGGCCACATGTGGCCCTCGAGATCCCCAAGTGTGGTCCCTCAACCGAATACAAATGTCATAGAACAAATCCCTTTATTAAAAGCATTTGTTCTGTAAAATTTGGATTCAGTCAAAAGGCTGCACTCAAGGATCCTGAAGGCCACATGTGGCCCCAGGCCACAGTGTCCCCACCCCTTAACCATTCCCATGGACAGACAGTGGGCCACTCACATTTTAATTATTGTTGGATTTTCTTTTTGCTTGAGCAGAAGTCTCATGAGGTTTCTTTAAAACTTTAGCTTCACAAATGAATTAAGGGAAGGTCAGCTCTAAGTAGTGAATATATTTCTGAAGGGAGGTTGTTCTAGAAGGTCATTAATAAAGTTGTTGAGTGCAAAGTTGAGTGGAAGATACTATAAGGCTAAGCATTGCTCACATGCGCTGTGAGATGGAATTGGCAGTTTGGACTAGCCACGCCCCTGTGGCTTCTCCTCTCAAGCCTTTGAATCCTCAATCTTTAAGAAAACATCTAACAGTTCCTTGAGTTTGTTTTAGTCTCACCTGTAAGTATGCACTAATGCTTATAAAACTGTCCAAACTTTCTGATTTCAATAGCAGACAGGTTTTTTTTTTAAATAGTAAGGATCAGTAAATTTTTTTTTAAAAAGTATTAAGAAATGTATTTAGAATTGTAATTCAGATCTGTAAAATCATTACACTAAATATTCTGCATTTTTATAATATTTTGCTGATTTTAGAACTATATAAAATACATTTCAGGAGATTTATAAATTGAGCATTATTGACCATGATGCATGCATTTCTGTATTTTTTTAAATGATATGTATTTTAATACCATGAGTCACTTAATTCTTTTGGGAAAATTGGCATAGATATATTGGCAAGAATTCACATTTAATCATTACGTGTGGAAGGCACAAATTCAATTTAAAATAACTTTTATTCAATGGAAAATGTATTCTCTATAGGCAAAACTAGAGATTTCTCTCTAATTTCCTGTCTGTATTTTTATAAATAAAATGTATTACTTGACTAAAATTTAAAAGTTTTTTTTCCACTGGAAGTTAGAGAATCTCATAGTTTTTAAATAAATTGGTAAGTATCTTGAACATGTATTCAGTTATTATTTAAAATAAAGCTTTGTTTTATAATGTGGCAAATATTTACATTTTAGAAAACAAACTTTGCCTGTATCTAGTCAATATAAGTTTTTAAATCACTAGTATATGGAGACAAATTATCTTCTTCAGTATATTGAAGGCAGATGAAACTACATTCATAGATCCCCGTTTATAGTTATGGTCAAATTAATTTTAAAAAATATTATCTGTAGAAATAAATTGTGCAAAATAATATACATGTAACATTTACATTTTTAGGAACTAAAAAAATACAGAGTTTATGTCACTTAAATTGGGGACTGTCTCTATTCAGTCAATAGGCTTGATCATCATCTGAACTCCTCTCAAGGAATATGACCCGCCTCTGTATTCGGCCCAAAAAATTCCATCTTGGTGCTTGCTTCTGTAATGGCCTCCTCTGTACCATACTCCATTTAGGTTAGAGTGTGCACAGGCATTGTACCACCAGCCTCCTTTATGAAAGTGGGCACAGTTTCCTTTGAAAGAAAAATATAGATACAAAAGTAAAAGTGTTTTTAAATGTGGTGTTCTGTAAACTATCAAAAACTTATTCTATCTTTGGAGAATTTGAGCTTCCCTTACTGATTTCAGTTACCTTTACTTTAGTAGTTTTGTTTCTTCATTATTCTTTTGCTATTGCACCAGCTCCTTGAAAGATCACTTGAACTGCCTTTTTTTAAAACTTGCTCTTTGCTTGCTTCCTATGTACTTTAAAAAAAAAAAAAAAAGCAGGGGAGGATTTAATTTTCTAGATATGGTAAATAAAATGCAAGCAGTGGCACTCTGGGAGGCCGAGGCGGGTGGATTGCTCAAGGTCAGGAGTTTGAAACCAGCCTGAGCAAGAGCGAGACCGCGTCTCTACTAAAAAAAGAAAGAAATTAATTGGCCAACTAAAAATATATAGAAAAAAATTAGCCGGGCATGATGGCACATGCCTGTATTCCCAGCTACTTGGGAGGCTGAGGCAGAAGGATCACTTGAGCCCAGGAGTTTGAGGTTGCTGGGAGCTAGGCTGACACCACGGCACTCTAGCCATTGCAACAGAGTGAAACTCTGTCTCAAAAACAAAAAAAATGCAAGCAGTGTTTGCATCTGAGAGAGAGATAGAAGAAGATATTGGGAAGGAAAAATATAGAGTTGCCAAAGAAGAGTATAAACTTTGGGGAAAATTGAATTCTCAAAATAGCAAAATAAAATATAAAGTAAAATAGCACTACCAGTAATCAAATGAGTTTTTGTATATAAGGCATATGTTATGGTCATATCTTTCTTCTTTTCTCCCTCTTTTACCACTGTGAAATAGGTTAAAAGAGAGATTGGTGTACTGCTTGCCAAGATACAACTGAAGAGAAAAACTATTTTTCAGGAGCGAGGGGAAATCTCTTTAACAGAGCCAGAACCCTGGGTTAAAAAGGCAAAAGCCTATAAAAATTAAATTTAAGATTATATGGATGGCCTAATTTATCCTTTCTAATTAAAATATTAATTTACCCTCTGAATCAAGCTTTTTGTTATTCCTTAATACCACATGTCGTAGTCATCTTGCTTTTCCCCTCTCAGAAATGCTTTTTCACCATATATCCAAATGGCTTGCCTGCTTTACTCCTTGCAGGTATTTATTCAAGAGTTGCCTTCTCACCATAACCTTTCCTAGCTAACACATGTAAAATAGTACCCACCCCAGGCCCTGCTCTTCATCACTTTCTACTCTCTTACTTGATTTTATTTTTTTTAGATTACTTATTGCCACCTAGCAAATCATTTTGTTTCTTCCTCCCAGAGAGTAAGCTCCAAAGGGCAGAAACTTTACTCACTGCTATATCCTCAGCACCTACAGCAGTGCCTCGTACATGATAAGTGTTTGGTTAGTATTTGGTATGAATTTTAGGCAACTTAGATGAATGAGTATGTTTTTGTTTTGCTTTTTTCCCACAGGACTTTGTTTTTTACAGAGGTCGTACTTTGGCTTATAGGCTTATTGCCTTATAGGAGAGATCCTAAAAGCTATTTCTTTTAATAGGTTATATTTCCTTTGACTATGTCTAAAATGGCCTTTCATAAAAGATTTTAATAGCATATACTTTCATGACTAGGTCTTATTTAATGCATAGAAAGTATGATTCTACAAAGAATGAAAGTTTTTTTTTTTTTTCCTTACTCACCTGCATACATATCTTTATCTCTGTCCAGTGTGGTGAATTGTTTACCATTATGCCACATCATAGAATCCCCTGCATTTCCCTGGTAAGTTCCCAGACGCAGTCTATAGAATTCACTTTCAGGTTCCAGACGAAAGCTGCTGTATTCTGCATAAACTTTTTTATCACTCCAATCTTCTAATTCAATTAACAGTTTATAATTATCTTGATTGCTAAGCATATAGATATTTTCCAGTCCAAGCCAATATTCTCCATCAATGTTTCCAAACCCTTTCTGTTAATAAATAAAGAAATATGAGTATGTAAATAAGCATAGGTAGATAGTAAACATTTTTATAGATAAGTTTTTTTCTTTTTTATTTCGGCATATTATGGAGATACAAATATTTAGGTTATGTATATTGCCCTTGCCCCACTCAAGTCAGAGCTTCAAGTGTGTCCGCCCCCCCAGGTGGTGTGTACCGCATCCATCAGGTATGAATATACCCATCCCCTCCTCCCCCCACCTGCCTGACACCCGATGAATGCTACTACTATATGTGCACATAAGTGTTAATCAGTTAAAACCAATTTGCTGGTGAGTACATGTGGTGCTTGTTTTTCCTTTCTTGGGACACTTCACTTAGTAGAATGGGTTCCTATAGATAAGTTTTAAACATTTGATAGGATAAAGACATTGCGACTTAAGTTTGGTAATGTAAACTTCCATTTTAGTTGATCGCCTGATTTTTATAAGCCCCACATTGTCGTTTTGCTTTTTTTTAACATGTCAGTATTTATTTGCATATCCAGCTTCAAATCCTACCACAAGCCAAAGCCAGGAGAACAAAACTTACTCCTAGCTTCTAAAATCTAGTGATCTACTCAGATTCTTAAGAAGGGTTCCTCATCTCTCTCATACTCATTCAAAGAGCCAAAAATTTTTTTTCTAATAGTAATCCTTGTAAAATAGTAAAGTGTGTGTCTAAGTCATCCATACTGAGAAGGAGCATTGTAAAGTGTATCTTCAGTTTCCTTTTTACATTTTAATTTTGCCTTTGAAGCCAGAAGTGTGAGAATCGTCTTTTTGACAGATGTAGAAGAAAAAAAAATATGGATAGTTATTTCTTAACATTTCTTGCATAGAAAAATAATTGTTTATTACATAGAATGCATATCTCATTTATTGTACAATGGCAAGAGCTGCTTTGTTTCATCTCCCCTGGGTCTAAATCACTGATTTACCTTATAATTTTCCCAATTTCTGAAGAAGTTGACAGAGCCATCTGTTCTTTTCTGAATAACAGTCCAACCCCCAGGATCCAAACTGTTCTCACACCATAACTGCAATGGTCCATTGCTGTTTTCAGGTTTAATCATGTAAATACCACTGACTGAATGCCCAGCTTCTTTTGCCTGCTGACAGTCTTTGAATGGTCCTGTAATTTAAATATCATTGATTATCAGGAAACTTAATATGAAAATAGATATATTAAAATAGTTTTTAATTAAGATGTTTAACCTTTGTGTCTTTACAGACACCACTTTTTATCTTTAGTAGGCACAATACTATAGAAGTTTAAAGAAGCTAAATAAAAGGATTACTCCACTCCCATTATCTAGAGCATTAACTGGCTTCATTTTCCACTGTTCTTGTCTTTGTCCATGTACATACATTTTTATATTATTATATAGAAAATAGGATTCTATCTTTTTAACAAACATTTCTATGGAGCTATAGTTTCCATTCTAGCACTTATAGAAGCTGTGGACTAGCCATTGACATTGATATATCAATGTTTATTCTTCTGTCATTGGACATTGAAGTTTTATCTGACTTTTGCTGTTATAAATATGGTAACACTATGCAAAGTGTCTCCATTCTTATTGACTTCATTTTTTCATATTTACTTATAAGAAAGCTAAGGGATTGATCTACTGGATCAAGGGAGTATCAGCTCTTTTATAAGTTTTCATAGTGCCAGATTTATAGGTTTGGAAATTTTGATTTTGGTGGAACACACTATAGTTGCTTGAGATACTCAAAGGAAATGGGTACCATAGTCCAGTAAGTTTTAGAAATGCAAAATATTGTTTCCCTTTTGGAAACTCAGAACAAACATTAACATATTTTAATATGAGAAATTAAAGAAATTTAATTTCTTAATTTTCTAAATTAAAGAAATCTAATTTCTTAATTTAACTGAGAAGCTCTGAAATAAATAAACTGGAGTTTTCCAAACTTACAGAATCTTAACACATTAACTGCCATGTGAGTTATATTTAATTCACACTGGTTTTGAGCAAGGGCCTCGTGAAGCATATGTAACTGCAGTTGGTTTGTGCAAATCTTGTTGATGTTCTTACTGTTACAGTTAATATTGACAATTTAATTGCATATAACTCATGCACAGAAAACAGTAAATAATAACAAATTTTCCATTAAATTAGTAAGGATCATTTTGTTTTCCAAGTTTTTATTCTACTTTCATAATAAGACACTGGCCCCAAGGACAAAATTTTTTTTAGTGTGGCAGTCAGTATGTTAAATTTCGCCCCACCCCCCTGCAACACTTATTAATATCCCATAAGAATACATTTCACAGCTGGGTTTGGTGGCTCATGCCTGTGATCCCAGCACTTTGGAATTGCTTGAAGCCAGGAGTTTGAGACCAGCCTGAGCAACATAGTCAGACTTGTGTCTTTACAAAAGGTTTTTAAAAAAACAACTGGTTATGGTGGTACAAGCCTGTAGTCCCAGCTACTAGGGAGGCTGAGGCAGGAGGATCACTTGAGCCGAAGCATTTAAGGCTATAATGATCTATGATTGTGCCACTGCACTCCAGCTTGAGTGACAGAGCAAAACCTTGTCTCTTCAAAAAAAAGATTCAGGAATTTTGGCCTGAGTGCCTTTTTTATAAGAGTTGTATCAATGTATATAACTAATAGTAATTTTCTCATGTAATCTACCCAGTGATAGTTTATAGGTGTTCTGCAGACAGGACAATTAACTAAGGCCATGTGTTTTAGAAGGTAGTGATCCCTAGGCTCAACTCATTTCTCTCTAATCTCAGATCCATACTCTGACCTGCTGTGCTGCATTTGCTCTCATGTTATTTTATAGTTTTAGGTATTCTCTATTTTTAACATAAATTCTTCAAATTTTTTAAAATGATAAAAACATTTTATAAAATTACTTGTAGGATGTCTGACTCTTGCACTTGTTATTTCCATATTTTTAGATCTAGAGAAAGATAAATTCTAGTTTTACTGAATTTAGTTTCACCCTTTTTCAGTGTTTGAGCCTTTTTTTTATAAGCATGCAAAAATATTAAGTGATTTCAGAATTGAAAATTCCCCTAAAGAACTATTAGAACAAAAAGTATGAAAATTCTGATTTGTCAAAAAAAAAATTTTTTTTTTTTTTTTTTTTGAGACAGGGTCTCACTGTGTCTCCCAGTAGTGTCATCATAGCTCACAGCAAACTCAAACTCCTGGGCTCAAACGATACTCCTGCCTCAGCCTCCCGAGTAGATGGGACTTCAGGCACACATGCTACCCCACCTGGCTAATTTTTCTATTTTTTTTGTAGAGACAAGGTCCTGCTCTTGCTAAAGCTGGTCTCTAACTCTTGGCCTCAAGCAATCCTCCTGCATTGGTCTCCCAGAGTGCTAGGATTACAGGCGTCAGCTGCCATTCCTGGCCTGATTGTCATATTTCAAATTTTACTAGAAATGTTAAAATTCTAACATGCATAATTTTTAGAAATTATGTGAAAATAGTTTAATCAAGTAAAGTTCTTACAAGAATTTCTGTGCTGTAAGCATGATAGGATTGCTGAAATTTTGAGCAATGTGTTATCTATACTTTGCTATGTATATACAGTGTCCCTTTTGGGCCTTATTGGGATAGACTTAATCTTGTTAAATAGTTATACAACAATATCATTACAAAGGAGTTCTTAAGACTATGAGCTCTTTCTGCTAGATTGCTCCTTGAAGATAGAGAATATTTTTGTTTTTCTTCTGATTTTTTTTTTTTTTTTTTTTTTTTTTTTTTGAGACAGAGTCTCACTCTGTTGCCTGGGCTAGAGTTCTGTGGCATCAGCCCAGCTCTGGGACTACAGGCATGCACTACCATGCCGGCTAATTTTTTCTATTTTTAGTTGTTTGGCTAATTTCTTTCTATTTATAGTAGAGATGGAGTCTCGCTTTTGCTTAGGCTGATCTTGAACTCCTAAGCTCAAGCAATCCTCGCACCTTGGCCTCCCAAAGTGCTAGGATTATAGGCGTGAACCACCACGCCTGGCCTTTTCTTCTGATTCAGTTTGTCATCACTGTTTAACCCTTAGTAGGCTCAGTTTTTTTCTAAATTAAATAAATCAATTAATCCACTTTCTCATTTTAAATATAAGGAAATTGAAAGCCACACACAAAAATCAAGAGAACATCAATTTTTCTAGTTCAAATTTTTATTTTGTTGCATTGATATTTCTCTGTTTCAGATTCTTAAAATTTATAATACAATGTCAGTAAACACTACAGACTAATAAAAAATTTTAGAAATGGGAAAGACAGTATCTTTCTTGGACTATATTTATTTTAGGTATTGTGTTTTTTAGTTCTTGAATTGAAATTTGGTTCTTTTTTATAGTTTTTATTTTTCTTTTTAGATGTCTTATCTTTACATTTATTATGAACATATTTTACTTTAAGACATTGAAGATAGCTATAATAAGTACTTCAAGATTCATTCCCCTTCTATTCCAAATTTGCTGAGAGTTTTGATCATTAATGGATTTTGGATTTTCTTCAAAGGCTTTTTATGTGTCTGCTGAAATGATAGCATTTTTCTTTTTTGTTTGTTTGTCATTATGGTGAATTATATTGGTTGTATTTTGAATGTTAAACCAACCTAAGATTCCTAGAATAGATTCAACTTGATAAAAGTATTCAGAGCCCTTAACACAATGCTTAACAAAGTAGTCATCATCAGTAACTGTTAGTCCCTTTTCTCCTTTATTCCTCATCTTAATATATAGTGGTAGCTTATTTAATAACTTAAGTAACTTATTTAATAAACATCTGCTTATTTAGTAAATTTAATATGGTTAATCAGTAGTGAATATAATGTCATTTCTACTGTAGAAAAATAATACATTCCTAAAAAACCTCATGTACAAATTCATACAGAAAAATAATGGCTGATTTTAGCTGTTCACATATGTTGTATTCAGCCACAGTTAACTATGGCACAAAACATTGATATGCTCAGGGAAAAAATCCTGTGTAAACCAATATAACCTCTTTATTTTACTGATACTATTCTCTTTTTTTACCAGTCACATATGAACTACTTCATATTACAAAAACATGCATTGTAGTCAAGTTGGAGAAGGGTAGAAAGGCTGTATTTCAGATAGGATGAAATTTACAGAATTTTAGTTTCTTATGTGGGAGTGAGATGGAAGGAAAAGTATGACTCCCAGGTCCATACTTCGATTATTTTGTGTAATGCATGATAGTGTATTCTTTTACTTATAGGACTCATAGGCAAGGACTTTATCTTTTGGTGTATACCCATAGTTTGAGCCTACTTAGACATTCAGATATTTGTGGAACTTAATGATTTCTGGTAAGTGTAGTTTCCAGAATTCCATCAGTTCTATATTATTCTTTCAAATGTCTTTTCTGCATCTACTGTTGACTGTTTTAGAGTCAAGAGATAGATAAACAACCTTACAGTCAAGTGGGAAGTGGAAAAAGTGGCAAGAAAGATAATTCCACTACAGTATGTTAAGTACTTTGAGGGAGTTATGCAGGGCACGTGGTAACAATGTCTAAGAGCTAGCTGAGGTATCTGAGGAGCATTCTTCTTGTTTTAAAACCAATTGGTATTTTAGTTAATGCATTCATGAAAGTGGTTTTGTTGTAATATGCATAAATATTTCTCTCATTTCAGACATTTGTGTGTTATGTGAATGTCAGTTTTGTATTGCTTATTCTGTGAATATCATTTCTGTAAATGTTCACTATGCACTCATTTGATTATAGTTTTGACAGTTTACATTTTACATTTAAGTATATATTCAAAAGTTGGACTTTCATTAGGTTATTTGAATTATAAAATATTTAGCAACATCAAGGTTTTAAATATTGACAGAATATTTATCAAATACCATTTGTTCCATTGAGCTAGACTCCTGCCATTTAATGGGCACTCAGATGTTTAAACAAATTGGAGAGTTCTGGGTTTTCCGAATCCAGCTTTGATTTGGATAAGACTTTAATTACATAAATTTAAGATTATCTTTGTCTTTAATTTTCAGCCTGTTTTTTGCAGTGGGCTTCATGTTTATAGTTTGGGTATCTATTAGACTTAGTTGATATAAAGCTTTAGGAAAATTTAGTTGAAATCCTAGTGGTGCTTATAGCTACTT